GCGTACTTGAAGTCTTTTACGATAAAAATAATGCATTTTTGGTATGAACTACCAGGTGAAAAATGTAGGATTAAGGCATTTCAATTCCTTTAAGATGAAACTTTATAAGTACCTTGTTATGAGGAAATATCATAAAATGATAGCAATTAAATTAAAAATTTTTAAATTATTTATATACCATCAATCTAGTTGACGTCTTTATTATTAACCCTGAATATCATTTTTCATACTTGTCCATAAAGTGGGTACCACTAAATTTCCTTGTGATGATTGTAATATTTAAATAAGTTTAATCAAAATCTAAAATAGCTTAACGTACAGTTATAAGTTACTGTTGATAGAATTAAAGCTGTACGATAGTACTTTGACTGGCGTTGTGTAATGGTTGTATCTGCACGGTGAATACAGATCATTAGGTGACGTCTAGCTTCAAAAGCGTATGCTCAGGTCGATATCACGTAAAACTTGTAGAACAAATTTGTATAACACTGGATCGTTTATTTTACGTACATGGTTATATGGAAATGTTCTATAGCTGACTATTAAATTTTCATAAACTAAGACACTTGTACATAGATTTCGCCATTTGGATATATTATCCTTTATAAATATACTTTCATCAATTAGTAAATCAATCAGGTAAAGTTACCCCTCGCTTCTAAGGTACTGTCTCGTGTTTCTGTGTATTTACTAAAAGTCAATCGTTTTGTCTCTAACTTTAGTTACTTGGGAGGCCTGGAATAACTAAGGTTTTGACCACTTTGAGTCGAGAAGTTACATAAAATTAGTCAACAATTGCAGGAATAAAATTTGATTACAAGGCTATTCGCTTATCTGAATTTTCTAAGAGGCCTTCAAGGTATGTGTATACTTTAGCCAAGGTATGTGAACCTGCTCTACAATCGAATGTTAACTAAACTATCAATCATACTTCGAGTCCTAATGACTAAGTCAGTGCTTGCTTTACAGCATTATCAGCTAACTTAAGAAAAATGCAGCACATTTCTATAAGACTGAGTTTACAGACTAAAAAACTCAAATGCACGAAAATTTTTTGTACTACTGAACACATACTCAAATCAGTGTAAGCAAGAGTAAAATTTTGTTTAAACATTTCAAGGAAGTTGGAAGGTACTTAACACAAAGTTTAAGTAGTAAAACAAAGAAAATAATAACAAATGTTATTTTAAAGTAAAAATTAAAAAAGGAATTGCGTAACTAAGAGGACCAAGTTGACAACATAACCGATTAAAAAAACAAAAAAACTACAATGATTTTATCTGATATTAAAGGTTGCTAAAGTAGATCTAAAAAGTATAAAAGAGCATTAAATAGTGAGGTGAAGTCAAAAAACTTACTTAATAAAATGACCGACTAGCTAACATAGGATCACGGTTTGTCAGTTGGTTGTATTAAAGGCAGAGGGTACGCATGGACTCTGCTACGCCACAATGCAGGCTTTCATAATGAAAATTGACAACCGTAGGTATAAGCAGTGGTATAATATACATACACATAAACGTTATTTGCTGAGTTATTTAAGTAATGCACTTTCTTGTATAAATAAGTCGCACTTCTTTAAAAATTCAGCGATGAATTTGCGTATTAATGAGGTTGGGTATTTTAAATAAATTTTTAATTTCTCAGTCATGCTGGTTATGTTAGTTTTTTGAAATTTTGACATTCTGTGTAAAAGTATTCTACGTTGATTTAAGTAGTCAGGACAGTGCCATAAAATATTGTCTATGTCTTAAATTTAATGGCCATATTTGCAAGAAAATGAAGGGACGTAATTATTCCGACAAAGACTTACTGCAAGGTTATAGTTGTTGGATCGGAGTCTGTTGATTGTAGTGATGTGGTGTCTTGAATGGTTGGATTTAGAGGACCATTGTCTTTTGTTATTGTCATTACAAAGGGAAAAGTATTGTTTCTCTTTGTGGTGTGATTGGTCAGTTAATAGTTGTGTACATGATCCTTGAATTTTTTTTCATAGCTTCAGTGAAGTCTGAATAAGTAAGTTGGTAATTATATTTATGCCATCGTTTATGGCATGTTTTACTAGTTTGTCTGCCGTATTATTTTGCGGAATGTCTACATGGGCTGGAATCTAAATAAGTGAGACTTCGCAGCCTGAATCTTCTGCTTTTATTAAAGATATTAATTTTTTTTAAATTAAATTGGATGGTTAGATGGATTTATACAGTGTATCTGCGCGCCGATGCCACTTTTGATTGTGATTGTTTAATCACGGTAGCTAGGGCTGAGCACGCTGGGTCCAGGCATGTGAGATAAGGAAAAGGAGGACGCGAGAGGTCACCTCAATAAACACGAGCTGCTTGTTAGGTTCAGGTATGAATATGTTTATTCATTAAAATACTCCCTAATTGCTCTAAAATCAAGAAAAGGGTCACGTTGACGAGGGGCACGTATAACTCTATATGTGTTGCTGGCTCGCGCGCGACACGTCTGTACTGTTCGGCTTCCAAACTGAGAAGGCCGAGAAGGGCAGCAGCAGTGGCATGGCTCTCTTCGATGAAGAGAGTCACGTGGTGGCTCGAACTTCTATTGGCTGTATTGCACAGCTAGTAGGCAGCAGAGCAGTTAGACTACTGTGGGGCCATAGGCCTTAAACAAAGAACGGCTGCAAAATGTCGCCCGCCAAACGTCGCTTACAGCACGTTTAATTAATAAAGTACTACGGTTCCAGTAGAGGCTAATGAAAATTAAAGTAAGAACTGAATGAATATTTTGAAACGTGGCTTACAATCATTGCGAGTAAAAAAAAGAAATGCCTCAACTGGCCTAAACTAAGTTACCATTACAAACGTGGTTAGAAAATGATGGGCTTATGGCCAATAAATGAATAATGTCTTATCTTCAGTGATGGCACTGGGCGTACAGCCCGCCGTGGAAGGACACCCTTGGTTCTCTGGAAGTGCGGTTGTTGACGAAACGGTGAGTGGCACCAGCTTGCTGATAGGCCGACGAAGTTCAGACTTGGCCGTGCGGACAACTGCCACCCGACATAGGCCATCTTCTCCTGGGAAGGCTCGCACGATGCGGCCCATGAGCTACTTTGTGGCAGGTTGAAGTTCGTTTTTGATTGGGACTACTTCTCCCACTTGAAGGTTGGGCTGAGCACGCGTCCACTTGGTGCGTTGCTGCAACTGAGTGAGATATTTCTCACTCCATATAGACCAGAAGTAGTCGCGGATTTGCTGCACGTGCCTCCATCTGGAACTGAGACAAGTTTTGGAATCCAGTTCTGTAGGGTCAGGAGGAGAAATAAGGGCAGCTCCTATCAGAAAGTGTCCAGGGGTTAAGGCGACTGGGTCTTCATCATTTGAGCTAAGATACCCAAAAAGCCTTGAATTTGACTCATTAGCGTAGTTAGCTCCTCATAGGTAAGGAGAGCCTCTCTAATCATGCGCTTGAGATGATGTTTGCACGCCTTGACAGTAGACTCCCAGAGTCCACCGAAGTTCGGTGCGTAAGGTGGCGTGAAGTGCCAACTGACTCCTTCACTGGCTAGGGAGGAAGCCGCTTGCTGACCTACTGCAGAGGTTTCTTTAAATAAGCGGCTAAGTTCGGCGTCCGCGCCTTGAAAAGTGGTGCTGTTGTCACTGTACATGTGTAATCAAAGTCCTCAGCGAGACACGAAGCGGCGAAATGCTGCTAAAAACGCCGGTGTGGAATAGTCAGAGACTACTTCAATGTGCGTTGCTTTAGTAGCAAGACACACGAAGACCGCGATGTAGCCTTTCATGACCTTTCGACCACGACCGGGGGAAGCTTCAAACCAAAAGGGTCCGGCATAATCAACGCCCGTGTGTGTGAAAGGTTGCGATGCTTGTGTCCGAGGAGCAGGAAGGGCGCCAATGCGAGATGCGAAGTTGGCTGACTCTTGGGAGTTCCGATGAAAATTCTTGCCAGAGCCGTGTAATTAATGGAGGTAGAGCCTGGTCCCAGTCTAACCCGTGGAGCCACAGACTCTGTAGTAGAGTTTTCGCCCTGATAGTAAATGGAGCTAGAAAACCAAGGGGGTCGTAGAGTCTAGCCATGTTTGATAATATCTGACACTTGGTGATAAGCCCTTGGCTTTCCAAAGCTGTGACCTTAAAGAGAATGGTGTCCGACGCGGGGGCCCAGAACATGCCTAGAACTGATGCAAGTGCATCCGCATGTATCGGGAGCTCGACAGATGGGAGAGTCTTAGGGCTCAATCTGCTCAACAGCGTGCATGAGTTAGACGCCCATTTGTCTAATTCCATGCCTGCTGATGACAAAATACTCTCGAGCTCTTGAGCCCTTTCGCAAAGCACGGATTTTGTCTCGGCTCCTACAAAGAAATCGTCCGCGTATCGATTTGTTTGGATAATCGAAGATCTGAGAGGAAAACGGATGGACTCTTGCACAGTAAGCTCAAGCATACACACGTTTGCGAGAAATGGGACTGAAACAGTGCCGTAAGTGACAGTGTTTAGCTGAAAAGCGGTTGGTGGATCGTCTGGTGACTCACGCCACAAGATTCGTTGCCAGTCGCGATCGCGACAATCCACTAGAAATTGGCGAAACATCCTTACGATGTCGCATGAAAACGAGAAACAATCGAATCCCCATCTCATCAGGATTGCGCGGATGTCCTCGAGAAGGTTAGGGCCTGGGAGCATGAAGCTATTTAGCGAGCGACCACGGCGATCCTTACTTGATGCATTGAAGACTACGCGTATTCTTTTGTAAGAATCGTCCCGAACTACTGCGTGGTGTGGAATGCAGGCTACCAGCTCCGGCTCAGGTTGACCGACGGAAACTGGCGACATGTGGCCAAGACTCTCGTTGTCTCTCATGAAGGTATTGTATGCCTGTCGAAGTGCAGGGCATGCTGCCAGCCGGCGTGCCATGCTCCGTAGCGAGCCCAGAGCTGCTTCTCGAGTACCTTAAAGGGAGGGCGCATCGGAAAACCGAAGGCGGATGACAAAACGACCCGAAATATCTCGTCACACGTTCTCCTGGAAATGCCTATAGCAATTTTTATCGTCTGAAGAACCATGATCGACATTAAATGGCTCTTCAACCTCCCAGAGTTTCTGTAACGCGACAGGCAAATCTTGATCGATGGTCAGAGTAAATGATTGAGTGGACTTTACCTTGAGGCCGGGGGATGGCTTAGACCCTCCAAGAAAAACCCAACCAAATACCGTACAGATTGCAGAAGGCGTGCCTGGTGGCCCTGTGATAAGGCCAAGGCGCAAGGCATCGGCGAAGACTTCAGAACCCAGTAGGCAATCAATCTGACTTGGGGTGCCACAGAATGGATTGGCAACGTCCAAGTCCTTAAGGTGGTTCCAACTCCCGAAGTTAATGTTGCTAGATGGAAGCTTTGAGGTGAGCTTGCCCATCGTCAAAGCCTTTATCTGAAAATCAAAACCATTATCAGAGGGGGACTTAACTGATAGAGTAACCCAACCCCTGGCTATCGAGGTTGAATTTCCCAGGCCGTTGACTGCCAAGCAGGTCTCTTTAACCTTGAGACCCAGTGCTCTCGCCACATGGTCTGACAAGTAAGACTCCTCTGAACAAGAGTCCAAGAGGGCTCTGGCTAGGTAGACTAAGCCAGAGTCTGAAACCAGCGACACGATTGCTGTGGACAACAGTTTCGTGCTCCTGGTAAATGTAGTGAGCACTGAAGTCTGCTGAGTGGAATCAGATGTCTGATACTTATCTTTCTTTTGTGGAGGTCTTGAACCGATGGTTGGCTGCTCAGCTTGATCCATATGCAGAGCGGTGTGATGCTTACTCTGACAGGTGCGGCATGTATTTTTGAAGGGGCTGTCGCCCACTTGATGAGAAGGTCCCATGCAGTTGAAACAGAGCTTGCTGCTTTGTACGAAGGCTCGGCGATCCGGCACCGACTTCCCTAGCAACTGCTTGCAGGAGCCTATGTAATACGTCTCTGAACAATAGAGACAGGTCGGCTTGGAGCCCTTGGACGTCGAAGACTGTTCTGATGTTGATGTGGACAGAAGGGCCGATGTAGACTGCTTCTCTTTTGGCTTGCCTTTATCTCTTGCTTTGTTGCCCTTGGCAGTCGGAGCAGGACCAGCTTCTCGCGTGCTGAAGCCTAGACGATCTAGGGTGCGGATCCTCGTCTCCAGGAAAGTCCGAAGAACTTGATACGTGGCAAAAGTTATCCTTTGGGCCTCACACTCTTTTGCCCAATCAAGCTGTGTATCCGGTGCCAACTTGCTGGTGATACAATATACCAGTAGAGCATCACAGTTGGACAATGTAGGCGCGAGAGCGTTAAAGACGTTCAAGCTCTCATTCATGGTTGACAACAGCTGATTAAGGTGTGTTACAGATTCTTCGCTTGCCACTGGCATCTCTAATATGGCCTTTATGTATGTGTTACAGCACAGCAGCTTATCATCATAGCACTTGACGAGGGCTTGCCAGGCTGTATCGAAGTTGTCGCCTTCTACCTTAATGCCACGTAGAAGGCTCGCTGGCTCACAACTCAGTGAGTTAATCAGATGCTGAAACTTGATCACTGGCATGATAGACGTGTCATTGATTACCAACGCTGTAAACTTATCAGGAAACCCTTGCCAGTCTCTCTGATCTCCGTTGAAAGTTGGCAGTTTGACCTTTTCCAGCTGTGAATGAACAGCTGTTCTATTTTCTAATTGGTTTCCTCTAGGTGGTGCAGGGTTTTCAAAGCGCACCAAGCACTCTTGAAGAAGCCCCAGGCTTTGCATGAAGGCTTCAAGAGTTGCGTCATGCACAGCTTCTGTAATATAAGTTGGATTTTGTATGTTGTCTGCTCATGTGAGCGTGTGCGTACGAATAAGCGACAACACACAGCACTACAGCAGCAGAAACTTCGAATTGGGTGTGAGCGTGTGTGTACGAATGAGTGACAACACACAGCACTACAGCAGCAGCAACTTCAAATTGTGTGTGCGCGTGTGTATGTGTATATACATATGACGGCACAGCAGTACTCACTACAGCACCAACAACTCCGGATTGTGTGTGCACGTGTGTATGTGTTTATACATACGATGGCACAGCAGTACGCGCTCGGGGTTGAATGTGCGCAAGTGTAAGTGTGTGTGTATATGAGCGACAGCACTACGAGCAGCTGAGGAACCAAGATAGCACACTTGACTCACCGTGGATCTCGATGCCTTGCTGTGCTCTGTTCTTAAAATGGCCGCCGTATTGATGAACCTCGTGGCGGCTGCTACTATGAGTACGTAGCCACTGCAAGTGATGAACCTCGTGGCCGCTGCGATTTTCCTATGGCGCTGCCCGGATCCGGCTCGAAGGACCAAAAAATATGCACACCAATGCCACTTCTGATTGTGATTGTTTAATCGCGGTAGCTAGGGCTGAGCACGCTGGATCCAGGCAGGTGAAATAAGGAAAAGGAGGACGCGAGAGGTCACCTCAATGAACATGAGCTGCTTGTTAGGTTTACGTATGAATATGTTTATTCATTAAAATACTCCCTAACTGCTCTAAAATCAAGAAAAAGGCCACGTTGGCGAGGGGCACGTATAACTCTACATGTATTGCTGGCTCGCGTGCGACACGTCCATATTGTTCGGCTTCCAAACTGAGAAGGCCGAGAGGGGCAGCAGCCGTGGCGTGGCTCTCCTCGCTGAAGAGAGTCGTGCGGCGGCTCGACCTTCTATTGGCTCTACTGCGCAGCTAGTAGGCAGCAGAGCAGTATGACTACTATGGGACCATAGGCCTTAAACAAAGAACGGCTGCAACAGTGTATGATTATTTATTCTTTGAAGTATGCTGAGAGAAACTATGAAGATAAAGGCTTGTTTGATTTTGTTCGTTATAATGCGATTAAGGGCGAGAAAGATAGCAAGAGCTTCAGATGTGAATTTCAACGACACTGATGTTATTATTAATATTTCTTAAATATTAGAGGTTGAACAGAAGAAGGCAACTCCATTCTCATCTGGGAAATTTTGTTGTTGTTGTTGGGGTAATATAAAAATTAGGGGTCGCTAAAGGATTTAAAAAAAGTAAGGAGTTCGACAAAGGGGCTAAAAAAGTGCTAGATATATAATAATAAATAGCAAAAGTAGATGGGCTATGTCCATTTTATAACAGCTGTTCTAGTTCTAGTGCCAATTTCAACACAGCTATCTTCCTCCCACTGGTGTTCTTAGAATGACTGTTCTACAATAGCCCCAATGATAAAACCCCTACCCCCACCACTGGTATTCTTTCCTTGTCCCACCACTTGGTACTTCAGTGGAGGCTGGCAATGCTTCTCTCCATACTGGTGTTCTCAACTAGGTGGCAGCACAAACGGATATGGACATTCTTAACTAAGTGGTAACTTAAGGTGCTACTAGAGATCTTTACTTTCTAGCGGTATTCTCGTATTTGTTTAGCTTTCTTAGGTATGAGATAGAGTTCAGAAATTTTTCACAAGCGAATCTTTTATGAATCAGCTAGCAAACTATACTTTCCCCTACCTTGCATCAATTAGTTAGTTTTACTTTGAACTGCACAATATTTATAATTTAATGAACAATTTCCTATTACTACTATTGACAAAAAAGCTTTATATTTTAATTAAATTGTATGTGTAAGCTTTTTTAATTCAATAAGTTTTTTTTTAATTTTATACCTGTAATTAAACATTTTTAATCGAATAGTTTAATTATTCTTATAATAAATATTCTTAGGATTTTTAAGACCTCTAGTGATTTCAATTTTTTTCTTATGTTTAAACATTCCTAATCAAATAATTTTATTTATTTTTAGGTTAACTGATTTTAGTTTTTCTATGATTTATTATTTAGAAAGAGGTAAGGTTAAAAAACAAAAATTAATAACTATTTTTATGAAATTAGGTTTATAGATAACTTTTCATTTACTTATAAAAATGAAGTTTAATATTCCTTAATTTACACTTTTATTTAACGATTTATCTTTTTTCATTTTCTTACGTACTTCACATACTATTTCTGGTGATAAAAGTATGAAGCGTATTTGATTAATAAATAATCCAGCTTGTCCAGCTGTCGGTTTTCTAACCAGGGACACTATCAAGTCAATTATCTTGATGGACTGACCTGTAGCTGCTGCCGGCTGCTGCTGCTGCTACTAATACCAGTGCTGCTGCTGCTACTAATACCATTTGCTGCTGCTGCTACAGCAGTTACTGCTTCTGGGAGAAAAACCAAAGAACTAAATAAAGTAAATTGAATTCTATAATATACATAAAAAATGTAACAAGTAATTTCTTACCTGCTGACTGGCTTGTCCATCTGGATGATCCCCATGGCTTGAACATGGCTTGCCCGAATAATTATGCTGACAGTAATGGTAAAGTTGCCTCTCCTCAAAAGTAAGTGACAGCGCATTTATACTTATATCCCTCCAAGAAAATTGCATAAGACTCTAGCGTATTGTGGTGTCAAACAAACATATGCAGACGGCACTAATTTTCTAAAGGAAAATTTTCGTGCCACAAAAAGATTTTAATGAATCTTGTCTGTCTGAATTTATGTCAGGCTAAGTTATATGATTGATTAAATACCCTGTCAATGCACACTATCATCGAATACACTACTATGACAAGAACTATATTAAGCACCCGTACAAGATTTTTTTTCATCTGTGCAATAATTAATCACGCTGTCTGTACTCCAGAGCCATCTACCATTGCCACGTTATCACAAGGCCCCAAAAGTTGTTTGGAATACGAACGTGCCATCTCATCTCACTGCACATATTATCTGCGCCATCTCATCTTATCTCGAGTCATCTCTCGTTAACTTGAGATTACACATATCAACCCGTAAAGACGCGTATGCTCTCGTTGCAGACGTGCGCATATCTAGCCGTGCTCATACCACAATACTGTAAGCGTCTGAGGGACCAGCTACGCTTCTGCATAGCACGTATTATATGTGGATGGCAGCTAACGTATCTAGTGAGTGCATGCTACTACACTTGCTCTAACTTGCAATTGTCAGCAGGTTGCGGTAACGTAAATTGTAATTCATCGTTGCACGTGCTACTAAAGTGATAAACCATCTTAATTCTGAAAGATAATGTTACTGCGAAGGATTAAATGTCTCATGTAGAACACCCTGGAAAAGAATTTTTAAAGCAGCCTCTGAAGTAAGCATTATTACTGGCCCTTCTAATAATAGTGATTTACTCAGCAATATCAGGCCACCTATGATGGATTTACTTTTGTTAAAAGTGACAGTGCTCAATATTCTACAAATCAATCTAGATGATATAGTGACTTTGAAAAATGATACTGCTTAGTTAGTACTCAATTATAATTAACCTAACAGGCAGTGAATCAAAGAAATTCTCATCTAACAAAAGTTTTAAGTTCAGTCAGAGTCATCAAACTTCTATCAATGATAGATGTCTTACTGAACCGCAAATAGTATTTTATTTACAAGTAAATTTAAACGTGTTAAAGATTTTAGCTGACTGCCTGATAAGCATGAGTTTGATTCACATTAAACAGGAATCTGCTAAGCCCAAATTTCTTAAAAAGGAGCCTCCCTCCTATGCTATTGACGATCTCACCAAAGATACAATAAACGTTAACTTTTAAGTTTGTTTTTGTTAGTCCCACAATTCCAATTTTCAGCACCTTTCACGGGATTTTATTTTTTTACATCTAATAACTACTTTTACGCTTACTATTAAAATTATACGAACTATAAAAATAATAAGTATTGATAGTATTTTGTACGAATCGTTCATATTGTTTGATCATCGAGAGAAGCCCAAAAAAAAGAGAAGGGACCGTAATCTAGAGATAAGGTGGATTCGAGCATCAGCTTCAGTAAAGTTTCTACCCAGGCTACGATCCAGCAAACTATTACCCATTATTTTCGTTTCCTTGCTAACATGACCCCTATTACAGTCCGTAGCTACTTCACTACTTCCATCACAGGAGCATGCCTTATTAACCCCCCCTGCAAAATGTTCTCCACTCACTCATATACCACCACCAACATCGAAACGTCCACCCTTGTTATCATCGAAATATATCACTTATAAGCCCTTTTACTTTACACAATATCAGCAAGCATTCAATTGCAATGTCTGATTTATTACCAAATTCTTCTGCAAACCAGGTGGTGACAAATCCTGGCTCTGAACCAGTAACTTGCAGCATTGCCAAAGCTATAGTTAAATATTAAGCCACTGCATCTAATTTTCAGAGCCCATTTATTTCAACTACAGCTTGTAACATTATCGGTAGATATTCTTTATAGTTGTAGTAGATGGAACCAAAATTGGAAGTTTTCTAAAAATAATGTGGCGACGACTAATAGCTCCAAGGCATCGTGGAAAATCTCAGTTTTTAAAAAAATTTTCAGATATTTTCACAAAGTTCTCTGTGGTAGTATTGTCATATGTATGGTATTGGTAGGTATCGGTACATGTACAGGTTTAAATACTGTCCGTAAAATGTTTGTTTATGCTTCAGTGATATGCAAATAGTTGCGAGTGCTGTATGAAAAAAAGCTAAGTGTACGTATGATGATCTAATTGCTAATAGTCTGCAATATATAGTTTTTACTTAATAAGTTATTTCCACAGTGCAAGAGTATGTTAGTGAGAAGAAATTGTCATAAAAGATAATATGAATCTTAGCAAGACTTTTATATGGTTTATTTAATCAACATTAAGTGTTGTTGAAGAAATACTAATTAACTGTAACTATCTTTTTGGTAACGAAAATTTTTATTAAATCTAAGAATATCTTAAATGTATAACAAATCTCTGCTCACCAAAGATAGGGTTTTGCAAATTGCACCATTTTTCCTGCAGATTATTCTCGATATTAAAACACAAATGCTTAAATGTGTAAGGGTTTATCTTTAAATACTGTAAATACTGTTAAATGGGCATCTAGAATTATTGGTCGTCAAAAGCCCTCTTTTTTCTCTTTTTTTTAAGGGGGGGGGGGGGTAGGAAATTATTACTTAGGGCTCATAATAAAAAGTGAAGTGGGTGGCAGATCCCAATAATTTTCTAGGCATCAGAATGTAATCAAAGAAAAAATCTGAAAAATTTTAAGAGTACACCTTAGAGAGCAGCTTTCCAGTAAAATTTTTTGGCAATCATTAAACAATAAAATACCCTAAAAAAAATTATTTTAACTTTAACGCACGATTTGACTATGACAGAAGACGAGTACATTTAATTTTATTTTCTCCACTTGTAGACTAAAAAAGATACAATTTTAATGGTTTTTTTTTCTTGATTAATGTAAAGCAAGATTTTTCGAAACAACGATTACTTTGTCTGTAAAAAGAATTAATGATAGTTTGTAATCGCTGCTGTAGCTGTTATTTTACTAGATGAATCATCACCATTATGGCTATCCATGCTTAAAGCAATATTAGTTATGTAGAAAATGTAACAAGCACGTACACAAATTGAAAGGTTGTACCTACTTTCCGTGTTAGCATGACCACTAGCACCACCATCGGGCGGAAGGGTAAACATAGGTATCGGGATAAAACGTAATCAAGTATGAAGTAGACATAGTTAAATGATGTTCTTTTGTTAAATTTAATAATGTCATAAAATTTATCTGAACAAATATCCAACCGTGTGAAAAAAGTGAATATGAAACCTTATGTATATACATACTAAAACCTATATGTTAAGTGTTGACATGGTTGACTGTCAACTACTGGGCTGCACTACACGCACGCATGTATACTCACGCAGACACACACTTTTGCTCTCTTTCTCTCTCTCTCTCTCTCTCTTTCTCTCTCTCTTTCTCTCTCTCTCTCTCTCTCTCTATCGTCCTGCTATCAGCTGCTTCTGTTCTGCGCTGATTTACAAGGGTGATTCTGCCATAAGTGGTCAAATTCGTGTCCCGAGCTCATATTACTACAAGAAACTAAAATTGAATGTTTAAATTGGGTAAAGTTGTGTTAAAAGTGTTAAACTTTCTCGGAAAAAACTTTCAAGCTCGTGCGTTGACTCTTCGAAGAGATAATAAAGAAAATATAGTCAAAATTTCACTTCCGTACTATGTCCCAATCTCAATTTCGCACCTAAAAGAACCTACTAGGAAAGAAGAAAGATTTTCTGCCATGTCCCTGCACATACATCATTAAGTATATGAGTTGTATGTTACATTTATGCTATAATAACATTTATTCTTAATCTCTAAGCAAGAGATTTTCCGAGCGGTTTCCGCTTTATCCGACATTTTTGTTTAAATCGTCGAACATTTGAAATTTGGTTAAATCTCTACTGTATCACACTATTGTACTTCGTAACACCATTTAGTGATCACTTTTTTAATCTCACATTATGACAAGATGATTACACAAGCCAAAGCTGCCAAAAACTTAAATCTCTTTGATTGACTGACATTTTAATTTTTAATTTTAGCGTGAACAAAAATTTTGGTCACTTCCATCTCCTCCCTGGATCTAGCACTCTGTTAATCATATGGGTAAAAAAAAAATTTTTTCCTGCACTATTTATTGGGGATAGATAATTTGTAAGCAGAAGCCCGTTTGCGTTAGCTCTACGAGCCACAATAGTACTCCAAAGCTGGAAATGTCACTTCCATACCCCTCAGTGGTAAAAGTGTCTTTTTTTCTAGCTATCATGCATTGGAATTTTACGAAACTTTTTTTTCAGCAATATTGAGATAAAACATGAGACACGTGTCTCGCCGTTTCATTTAATAAGCCTTTTTTAAGAGATACATCGATTTATATAGATTTTACTTCTGACACTAGTGGCGAAGGAGTATATTAGTTGGGGTAGTCCAAAATAGGCTCAAATGACTGTTGAAGCAAAGCTCTATTAATAATAAAAAAATTGTTGAATGTGGTGCCAGCAATCAAAAGTTTTAGGGGCTTTTTTTAAATTACAAATTTCTGGCAATAATCTACGAAATCTCATTTTTAGCGATTTTTGTTGCTCCTCTTTAAACAGCTGCTATAACTTTTAAATGGAGGCACAAAATGAAACTAACTTTTTTTTAATCGATAGGGTTTAATGATAGCTTTGATTCGCTGGGCTAAGAACACTTTATATGTATATAAACAGCTTAGCTACACGCATTAGAAGCAGAGGTATGTTTTTCAGAAATTAACTAAAATTGTCTTAATAAAAAATACCGCATAACTTTTGACCCAAAACTTTATAGTAGAATTGCTTTGGATATTTGTTGTGGATGGTATTTGGAGTACAACTACGATGAAAAATAACTTTTTCAACCAAATTTTTTTAAAGGATTCTTCAAGGCATTTTTAACCACTTACGG